AGTACAGCCCTTCTATTTTGTTTAGTTAGTGATTTCCATGGAAGTTACATAATCACAGGGATGGGTCTTCACTTCAGCAAAGGTCTTCTTGGCTTGTACATCTGGGAGTTTTTGCTAATTGTGTTGCTGTTCTTTATTTTCCAACTTCTTTTAGCTGTTCTTAGTTCAGTCAAATCAACTAAGGAGAGAGATAGCATGCTGTTGTTGGTATCCTTGAGTAATATTCTAAGCAGCTTTCATATTTCTATAATGTTTGGTAAGTTTTAAATGTGCAGTGATTGTAAGTTATCAGTTCTGTGGACCTGGAATGTAAAAATCTTAGCCACCAATTTCCTTGAATAATTTTTAATGCAGTCACGGCTAAGGAGAAACAAATATTGACAAAGTTTCATAACAGAAAAGGGATAAAAAAAGTGTATATATTTATATTCTGTTCCATTTGATTATAAAAGTATGTGGTGACTGCTGGCTTAGAAAAGCTGTTTGGAAACTGGTTTCCTTGTTGCAATGAAGACTATATGGAAGGTCTTTCTTCTGTTTCTCTCTTCATATTACAAGCATTGTAGGTCAGTTTATTCTATACCTCACCCATTCACACCATTGTCTTCCCATAGTTGCGTGTTTTTCCTGTGTTCAGTATTACCAAGGGAGAAGAGGTTTAATACATACTCCCAGATGCAATGTACATACTAGTGCTATTTTGGCCAAGTCTTCCAACCTTTAGCGAGGATCAATAGGAAGCTTCTCCTGTGATTTTTAGGAAGCTGATTCTGAGCTTGTCAACTAAGTTTTCTTTAAAATCCCTTAAATCCTGTGAGGTGAATCCGCATATAGAATGATAATTTTTAACATGAATGCAGTGAAAGATGTGTTATCCTTCTATTTTGGCAGAGAAATTTCAGACCTCTCAGTGAAGCCTTTTTCTCTTTATGTGGAATCCAGTCACTGACTTCCAAACTGGTAAATGAGCTTTCCACGAGCAGCTGCAGGGCAGGGCAGCATACCTGAGGCCAGAGACTGGTTTTCCTGTGCATCATTTTCACCTATCATTGATTTATTTTTAAAGAAGAATAGTGTGGGACTGAATTACAAAAGAGCAAAAAAGTAGTTAGATGCACCCATACTTGAACAGAAGTTTTGACAAAAACATCTTGAAGTGCATGTGCTTGCTAAATACACAACTGTCTTCATAGATTCCCATGCTTTGCAATATCTTAATATATGGGCTTCCCAAGGAGGGTGTTACTGATAAGTTTATGGTTTTTCAAGTCACCTTAAAACTGTTGTTTCTTTAATACTGCAAAATAAAGCTGTTACAAGGCCAAGTAATGTGGTACAGCAGTAGTATTAAATTCTGGGCTGGAATTCATGATCATTTTATGTGATCTCATCTGCTGATTTAATAAGGACCCTTATTCATGTTATGTTTTTATTTTTGAGATAATGCTTTTGGTGGGGCTATTTTTCCTTTGCCCAGTCGGTATGGACTCCAAATTGTGGCTGGTATATCTAGAAACTATTGGATTTAGTTTTCTGAACTTATGTTGTTCTCTGGGGGGAGAATCTAGATGTTTCACCCCCTACTTGGTAGTCATATCTTGTCATAAATCTGAATTTTAAAGGAAGAGTTTAGATTGATCAAATTGGCCAGCTTCACTCAGAAAAGAGCAGTGTTAAAACGCTTAGCTTGATAAAATGTTTAATGAACTTAAAATAATAGTTTAGGAGTCATAGGATATAGTGAGAAATTAGAGTTGATTTGTGATGAATGTGGAAGAAAGTAGAGTTCACATTTGATGGTAGGATCTCTAATAAGCAAGGCAAGACGTTGTTTCTTCTTTCTTCCAGTGCATTAGAACAAAAGTATGGGTATTGGTAGATGTCCTGTGTGAGTTGAAGAAACCTCCCTTACATGCTGTTTTTGTGAGGCTTAAGAGGTGAAGTATCTGCTGTAAGTGGTTTCTGCTCTCATTGCTGGAGTGCAGGAGCTCTTCCCTTTTTCTGCACCAGTATGCTATGTCCATTTATGTTTCTGTCTGACTTTGACTTTCTTCGCTTCACAAAACATTAGTATCTCTAAGTTATGTAAACTTAATTGTTTTTAAGCCTGCTTGCATCTTGAAAAGGATACATAATAAAGATTTAAAGAAAAAATGCAATTGTCAAACAAAAAAGAGACTGCGATTCAAGAAACATAATTTTGAGACAGCTTTATTTTGCTAAATCTTGTGCTAATGATTTCCTAAAATCTGTGGAAAAATCTGAGTCATGCCATCTAGTGGCAGTTTTACACATATTTGTGTTTTAAATTCTTGGATGGACATGTACTCTGGAAAAAGTGTGCTAAGTCTGTGGATTTTAGCATTAACCAGCATTGTATTGGGCGAGATAGTTGTTAAACTGTTTCTCTTGGCCCTAGCTTATGTGTTCATATATTTCTTTTTCTGAGTAGAATGTCTGAAAAAAGGCTTTGTTGTCCTTCTTGTGGATTGAACTACTATTAGTACTACTACTACTACTGCTTTGCTGTAGATTGAAATGAATGAGCATCTCTGGAAATTGTTGAGGCATTTCAGCTGTGTCAGCTGCAACTTGCAGCTCTGGAATGAGCAATTGAAAATAGAAACTTTGCTAGGCCTTAATTGAATGCACAAGAATGTGTCTGTCCGTGTTTTTGGTCTCCTTCTGTAATCTGAAGAACAGACAAACTTTATCAATTACTTGATTTTATTTTTTGTATTGACATATATTATATGCATATGTGTACACATTTGTATATTAAATAAGGTCTTAGGCCTTTAAGATTCTGTGTATTTTATGTGACACTTCACTCAATTTTTTTGTTGAACAGGCTTAACTTGCAAGTAGATTTTAGCAGACTACTGGATAAAAAGTGAATATGGTCTGATACTTTTTAAAGAATTTGTTTCTTGGTAGGATGTGATCACTCCTAGAACTTGATTGGGGAGGAGCTATTCTAGCAGTCCTTTTCTTTACTCTGTTGCAGTCCTTTTCTTTAGGATGATGTCACTTTTTTGTTGTAATGGGCCTGGAATGGAGTAGAAAATGTCTGGGCTTCTCTTCTACTGCCTCTAGCTTTTTTCTGAGAGTCTGTAGAGTCAACTGCAAATTTGTCTAAGTCCATGGAAATGGGACCAATATATCAATTTGAATGCTTTCTAATACCCATTTGGCATGCAGTGGGACTAGGAAGACATGGGAAACTTAAGAAAAAATCTATGGATTGGGTTTTGGGGTTTTTTTTGTTGGTTATTTTTTGTTGTTGTTGTGTTGTGGTGGTTTTTTTTTGTTTGTTTGTTTGTTTGTTTTGGTTTGGTTTTGTTTGGGTTTTTTTTGTTTTTGTTTGTTTGTCGGGGTTTTTTTTGTTGTTGTTGTCTATTTTGTAGCATAGAAGCTGCCTTCAGTGATGCTGTTTTTAGCACCTTTGAGGAGTCCCTTGAAAGACTGACTATTCCCTATGCCTTGGTGTTTGGGGAAAAACACTAAGGTTGTACTTCATCCTGTTAAATGTTTGGACAACCATTTGACCAGTGTGAATGACAGGAATCAAAATTCATAAGCCACAGGCAAAGGACACATTTACCTAGACAGAATGCAAATTCTCTCTCTATTTGTTCCTGTATGTAGGTGCTGCTCTTGAATGAAGGTTTGAAAGAGTCTGCAAAAGATTCACATCACAGATATTTTTTCATGTAAACTTCCAGTGGTTACTATTCTTTATTAAGTTTTTTTCTTTATTATTCTTTTTTAACCTGATACTTAGAAGTGTATTGACTTCTGCTTTTCAAGTTTTTTCCTCTTAGGAGAACTGGAATTGTGCTCAAAAAGCTGCAAGTGTGTTTTGCTTGTTTATGCTGCTGAGTTTCTTCTCTTGTCTCCTGAAGTGTCTCAAGGGCAACTAGTCTTTAGTGAAGGAGTTAATCAGAAGACTCGTGACTTCTGTCAGTGTCTGGGGTGAGACATGGGTAACAGAATATCTGTTCAGGATGTTCCTGTTGGTTTCTATTCAGCTTTTTGAAACTCCAGTTATCTTCAGATCAGGAGGATCATTTAACTGGCTTTTTCTGAGTTCTTTTAAGTTCCCCCTGTGCTTGGCACTGGGGAGGCTGCTCTTGAAATTCTCTGTTCTGTTTTAGGCCCCTCATTCCAAGACAGACAGTGAGGTTCTGTGGCGTGTCCAAAGAAGGACATGGAACTGGTAAAGGGTCTGGAGCACAAATCCTGTGAGGAGGAGCTGAGGGTGTTTAGCCTGGAGAAGAGAAGACACAGGAGAAATCTTATGACTCTCTACAGCTAACTGAAGAGGGCTGTACAGAAATGGGGATCAGTCTCCTCAAATATGTTAAAAATCTGGGACATGTTAAAAATCTGTTCCATCATGCTTCTAGTTTTTCTTAAGGAAAGAGCAGAGAGCACAGTTACAAGTAGGAAATAGTTTCTGTTGGGAGAGTGACTGAGTAAGGTAGCAGTCTTTGGCTCAGAAGAGAGATGAGTTGGTTGATGTAACAAAAGCTTTCAAAATTTTAAGTGTCAAGGGAAAACAAGTACAAATTGATTCTTTACTGTTTTTTAATAAATTAAGCTAGGGATTGTTAAACAAAGGTAATTGGAGCCAGGTTCAAGTGGAAATTCTTACTTTGCCCAAAATGGGTGTCAGGCTCATGAAATTCCTTACTAGTGTTATAACTCATTAATAAAACAAAGTCTACTTGGGATTGAGGAAATCAGACTGGTATTTGGAACAGAGATCTACTGAAAAATCACAAAATGGCCAAGCACTATTTAGACCTAGAATACCCAGAGTTGCCAGAGGCTGGAAAGTGAGGTGGACAGGATGTGTGAGGTAGAGCTTTTGCCCATTTTTCCTTACAACACACTTCTAGACACCAATTTTGGAAACTGGATACAGAAATAAATGATCTTTGAGCTGAACTGTTCTGCTCATTTTTACATTTGTGCATTTCTTCCTTTATTTCAATTTGAAATTTGAACCTACATTCAAAGAGCTTTGAATCTAGGAAAGAAACAACTTGTAGATTTCTGGTCTAAGCTATTCACATAACTGCTTTTAATGTGTGTGCTGGCTGAATGTGCACACTGTCATGCATTCCAGGCCTCTTGTACGTACTCTAGCCAACCTGCATATCCAGTATATGTGCAGAACACTTGTTTCATGTGTGAATACACTGTTCAACTAGTGCATCCTGAATACATCACATGTGCTGCACAAGCTCTTGAGGTGTAATACTCTACTTGCTTCTGTGATTTGCATGGTAGAAGTTCAGAATCTAAAAAGGAAAAATATATTTTGTTTAATTTATCTGTAGTCTGATGTAGTAGGCCCACAGAAAGTCTCTCTGTAAAATTATTTGCAGTGAAAACTTAGTAAACAGTCATTAGACTGTGAATATTCTGATGATTACTGTCTGTTGCAGAAGTAAGTGCTATCTGGTAATGGTAAATTTCTGCTGTGTTACAAAACATGTACACATTAGACTGAAACTTTTTTTTCTTCTGCAGGAAAACTTTGAAGATGCCTATGAAAACATCCCTGTGTAAGTAGAATTTTTAAAAATGTGTGTTTTGTTAAAACTCCTTGTACAGAATGGAATACTGTGTGCACACAATTCCAGGGAAACGTAATTTTATATACACTGACTACATTCATGTTTTTTAGAACAGTTAAAGTCCTCAAGACTTGAGAAACGGAAGTGTAATTAGGTTGATGTATGTGAGAAAATATTTGTCAAAAATGTGAAAATTGTAAAGACTTAAAAATAGAAAATCTAGTAACTTAGTTGCATACTGACAGCTCTAGACATTTTTGCGTGGTGAAAAAATAGTCGCTTCACGTTATTGGGAAAGCTTTGAATCACACATTATTCAAGACCAGCTAAGCAAGATTTTCAAATGGAAATTGCTATGTCTTACAGTGTACTGCTGCACAGATGTTCTCCCCTAAGGAAGTGAGATACAGTCACTTCTCTGGTGGAAGATCTCATGCCAAAGCAACACCTTTATTAAACTGTGATGAAAACACATTATGCTGTTCCTAAGTGTTTTTAGTTTTTCTCTAGGATTTTATTGAATCTTTGTGCCATGGAGCACATGAGAAGGGGACTTCTGCTGATATCCTCAGGTTGTTAAAATACCTCTAGACACAGCAGTGGATTTGGACTGAACTTCATGGCCAAAACATCCATGGTCTTGGCAAACTGTATTTTATAGATTTGCCAGACCCTCTGTATCTTACCTAGGGTAGTAAGGTCTGATCTGTGTAGAACTGAGAAAAATTAAACATTATTTCCTGACACTCAGAAGGAAACAAGAACCTGATATGTTCAAGGTGAGAATTCTTCATGTCGATTGTTTATTCTTCGTTTGACTGCCTAGCAGTTTGTGTATGATTGAGTAACTTATCTCTTTTCTGCTCTTTTCCCCTGGGACAGGGACAAGAGTAACTTTGAAATACTGTATGAGAATATTTATCCAATATTCATTCCAAGAGACAGTGGTTTTGTTGTTTTCTATCGATGTCTGAGCTGGGCATGGTTGTTTATTTTTGGCAGACAGAGCTTTGGTTTGTTCTTCCTGAGTGTCTCTTCTGTGTTCATAGCTGTTTTACAGTTTTTATAACAGAAGTTAGGATGTCAGTTTATTTTGGCTGGTATTGTTTCCATCTGCAATAAGCATTATATAGAAGAGTCAATGAAAGATAATAGAATATTAATGGGACAAAAAATTTTGTTGTTACTTAACATCACATTGAACACAGTGAGTGTGAATATTCTTCTGTATCTGGGCAGGATTCTTCACTGGATCTGACTCTCTCAAATTCTTCCAAAGATACGGCTATTTAAAAAATATGCCTAAAGAACTGAAAAAAATCTTGGAACGTTTTGTCTAAGTCTTCAGTCTTATCTTTCTTGAAATGCTTTGATTGTTTTCAAATGATGCTGGTAGTTTGCATGAGGGAAAGCGTTTTGTAAATCTAATGCCATACTGGTTGTTCTTGACCTTTTTCTGTGAATAGAGAATTCACTGTAGTTTTTTCATTACTCTTTTGAATGAATGAATGGCCAGAGGTTTAAGCTTCTGGGAAGCTGTCTCTATTTTTTTGATTTAGCTGTTGATAACATTCACTTTCATCATTTTTGTATGTCAGTGTTTCATTCTTTCTTATTTTGGATAGGAAGGTGGCATTTTTAGAGCTCTGTGATGATATGCCTGGCATGGATTTCAGTGCTTTGTTGCCATTAGTTATATCCAGTTGAATTTAACTAAAATAGACCTTTTTTATAAGGAGTTGTGTTGACAAAACTAACATTTACTTTTGAGATCAGTTTTGGTTCAGATTCTATCAGATCATCATGTTAGTTTCAAGAATTGGGAAAGAATGTGTAGCAGCCAGATCACTGTATTTAATACACCACTCTGTAATTCTTAGCATAAAATATGTATAGAGTAACACAGCTCTGTATTTTACACCAGTAGATGCTAGCGAATGGTTTTGCCAATCCAACTTGACTTTTTCTTTATTCTTTAAATATTACTGCTTACCTGTAAATACCCAATTGTGCAGGTTAGATGTTGAAAGGGCAATGAATTACCTTGATAAGGTAAAATCCTTCCCTAAATCTCATCCACTAGCTGCCATATCTGAGGACAGGCCCAGGAAGAAATCAGTCTTTGTTCCACTGGTTTAAATGTATTAGGTTCTCTGTCTAGACTCTTTTGTCATCTTCTACCCATGCTAGTTACTGTAGATACAATCAGCAACTCCAAAACATGTAGTGATCACAAAATACTTGCTTTGGAGAAACATGAAGAAACCTTTAATTTATTTATTGTAAATTTTGTTCACTGGTGCTAGATCTGAAGAAAGACTATTACAGGAGGTCAGATATTCATGTTTTCTGTTGCCAGAGTGTAATTTTTGAAATTATATTGTCTTTAGCTTTACAACTAGATTGAGAATGGTTTGAGTTCTCAACAGTTTTTAACCATCACTGTATTTTACACTTAGCATTGTACTGACCTTGCCACTGCTGTTTCGATTTCTGTATGTATTTTATCTTCTGAAGTTCTCAGTTTTTTAGGACATGTATGAATTATTCTGTTGGTATTCTGTCCATCTCACTATTTACTGTTCCTTAAAATGTCATCTGTATGTGAAAGGAAAAGGCAGCCATCATTTTGCCATGTTTGTCCATGCAATCTTCCTTAGATTGCCATGCAGCCTTTCTCTTTGAGGTAAAGGCAAAGATAGTGCCTTATTTTACTACAACCCCAGTATCAGAGGCTTATGGAAATGAATAGCAGCATTTAGAGCAACTGTATTATGACAGCTGTGTGGGTATGTTTATAGAAGATGCTTTGTAGTTGTCTTTGGTAAGAAACACAGTAGTTTGCCTGACTGCTGCAAGCAGCTCATATGCTGAGGAATTCTTCATCTTGTGCTATTTTTATAGAATTTCAGACACCAGACCCTGAGTTATGTCATCAGTGGAAAGATAGCAAGATCTTATTTAAACACGTTTAAAACATGAAGTATTTAAAAGAGTGGGAGCTTGCATTCTGTAAGCAAAGCAGACAGATGATTTTTGGTCAAGAATGGAACTCTTGGGATTTTTTTGTCTTTATCAATTTCAGCAAAAAGAGGCATACTTCATTTACTCTCTTTCGCGTTTTCTTTGCCTACCCGAAGCTGTGTACTGTTAATCCTTGATCCTACCAAAGCAGCTCTGTGTGGTATTACTGGGGTGATAGATTAAGGGCCAGAAGTGTTTAAGGAAGTTAGAGCAGGTTATCCTTGTAATCTTAGATGTGTAGTTAAGATTTCAGTTACACCTGCGCATGTGAGTGTTTTTCAGTGAATGAAATTGAACAGTTAAGGAGATGGCTCTAAATTCAAATTTTAATTCAGGAAGCCAACAACTTTTAGGAACTGTTTCTCTCTTCATAGATTTAAACTCACATTCTGACGTTGTCTTGAGATGGTGAGAAGCAGCTGTGAGAATTCAAATGATGAATATTTTATTTTGTTATGTTTGACTCTCCAGGTTAGTGGGAAGAAAATCCAGTAAAGGCAGTTTTTGTGTCTAGAACTTAATACTTTCATAGCTACATAAATATAAAAATATGACCCATTACCTACTTTATATTGTGAGTGTTAAGATTTGAAACAGCAGTAATGATACTGCAGCCTTCTCTCTAATATTTCCCCACCCCAAACAGTTCTAAGATTATAAATTTTTAAACCTGGAAAGGTTTTCATCAGACAATAATTATATCATTACTGACACGTATTTATTACCACTACACCTTTTGCCTTGTGATGTAAAATTTTTTTGTGTTAGTATTTCAGTAGAAGACTTCGGGCCACATTGTGCTATTGTTTGTATCGGTATTTTCTGTTCACGTTGAATTGTGCATTTCCTCTTGTGTTCATAGCCCCTTAGAATACGAGGAGGGGAGGTAGGCAAAAACACAAAGCCAAACAAACCATTTCAGAGACACTGTACACAAAAGTGTCAGAAACTCTGCATGTTTTTCATATCCTGTTCCTCTTTTTGCAAGCCTTTGCTGAAAGGCTGGTGTACAGAAAGATAACGCAGCATATTTTTCTGTTATCCCATGTTCACCAAAAGAAATCTGTCTTAACTGAGCCTAAATATTTCTTTGCTGCTCACTGGTTTGTTCTTTAATTACACATTCATTAACATTGTGGCTTTAAAGTCATATCATATTTTGGGGTGGGGGTCTTTCTGGAGACTCCTGGAATTTATTTAAGTATCATGTTGGACTTGATATTATGCTGGAATGCATGATCACATCTGTGTTTTCTTTCTTTAGACATCTTTCAGGAAAGTAATGTTTGTTCTGTGCTTTAATAGACTGCATAACACTACCTGTAGCCCTGCAGCTCAAGAATTGCCTTTTCTGAGTAACTTCTGAGACCTGGAAAGTGATGTAGACTTTTGGATTGGTGGTACAACCATTAAGATATAAGTTCTTTAGATAAGAAAATGGAATATGAATTTTAACTCATCGATGAAGAAAATTAATAAATTGGTCAGATGCTGAGATGTAGAATTGTTTTTAAGAAGAATGGATTGAAACCCAGATTTGCCTGTTTGTTTATTTAAGCTATCAAACAAACAAACAAAAAAATCCTGTTTTTTAATAGTTTTGATTTGGTTGTGTCATGTCCACCCCTTCCCTAATGATTAAATGCTGTTGTAGAGTGTTTTGGGAATCAATCTGAGTGAAAGGTGTAGTGAATGCGTATTAGTTAATTTTCCTTTAAGTCAGTCCAGGGGAAAGCTTTTTAACATGGACTGTTATTTGCAGTCAGAAAGCTTGCTTTTGTCAGCTTTGTGGAAATGTTCTCCTGACTTTTTCAACTTTTTCTAGAAAATAGTTTCTGAGCCATCAAGTCTGGACTGTCTGAAATGTATGCTGCATTAAAAACAGAACACTGTATGTTTTGTGGGGAAATTGAGTTGACTTCTATGCGGCTGGGCAACCTTGATTGAAACTTGTCTACTCTTCA